TTAGGTGTTTCTCTTCAGAACGAACTTTTATTACTTCATTTGTATTTTGGTTGAAGTGTTCAATTTCTACAATTTGCTTCCGATTATTTAAATAGGATTTAAACCAGTTATGTACTAGCCCACGGATACCCGAATTCATAAGTTTTAAAAGTAGTTTATCATAGGGCACCCTGTCATATGCTTTCGTCATATCAAGTAAAATACCAAAAGTATGTTTTTTATCATTTAAATTTTGTAAGGCCATTTGTATGAACTTATATACAGCTAGGGTGGTTGATCTTGATTTTCTGAATCCATTTTGGCTATCATCCAGTATTTCATACTTTTCAAGGAATGAGTAGAGTCTATTACACATTGCTTTTTCGTATATCTTTGAAAAGGTGGGCAATAGGGCTATTGGTCTGTAGTTGTTAGGGTTTTTTTATCTTCTTTTTTGTGCAACGGTTTTATTAGTGATATTTTGAGAGGCTCTGGAAATATGCAATGATGAAAACTTTGGTTTACTAAAAAAGTAAGGGGTTAGACAAATTCTTCAGTGCATTGTTTTAAAAGCGCCGGTGGTATATCATCTACACCACAGCTATATTTAGTTTTTAATTTTTTATACTATTTTGGATTTCCCTTTCATCAACTGAGGTTAGGTACATGGAGCATGTCGGTTTCAATTCGACAGAATTTTTATATTGTTTCTGATTTTTATTAATATTATTAGTTTTACCAATTGCTGCAAAATGTTCATTAAATATGTTAGAAATTTGAATGGGACAAGTTATTGTGTTATTATTAATATTTAACATCATGTTTTTGCGATTTTTTGTTTTCATTCTACCCAATTTATTATTAATTATGTTCCACATGGTCTTTATTTTATTACTCGAATTTTTCATTTGTTTAATGTATTGTAGTTTTTTTTGATAGTTTGATACTACGTTTAAGAATTTTTGTTTATTTTCTATAGTAATTAAGAAAAACTGGACTTTTTGTATCATTAAGGATTATTCTTAAAAGTCTTTTATGCTTACAAGATTTTTTAATCCAGTTGTCAACCAGCCTTTATTTTTTTGTTTTTTTATTTTTACTTTCAACTTAGGTATATGTTCGTTTAAACTATTTGATATTATTTTAAGAAAAAATTTATAGTTCTCATTTACAGTTTGGTTCTCTTTTAGAACATTATTCCAATCGACGTTATTTATTAATTATGTTTTGTTTTATAAAATACCTTTTTTTTTGTAAATAACACTTGCTTTTTGCTCATCGCTGTCTCTAAATTTAATTCTAGATTTGTTGCTTTATGGTCTGATAAACCATAATCAATAACATAGCAATTTTTTACTAAAGATATATAGTTTGTAAAGATTAGATCAATACAGGTGGCTGTTTTATTTGTGACTTGGGTGGGTTCTTTTATAAGTTGAGCTAAATTATGAGAACGCATTAAATTTAAGAGTTCCTGAGAATCACTATTGTTTTCGTTAACATTTATATTAAAATCACCCCCAATAATGACATATTTATGACTATATTTTAGTTGTATTCTATTAAGTAGTTTATTTAATTGTTCATAAAAGATATTAATATTACGATCCGCTCTATATAAGCTGACTAAAACAATATTATACTTCGGTATTTCTATTGCACAAAATTCCATCGTAAATTCTACGGAAAAACTAACCAAGTCTATTTTTTCAATATAATCAATACAATCTTTCAGCATAATACAAACACCTCCACCACCGTGCTTTTTTCTACTAAATTTTGAAGCTACTTTATATTTTGGTATTACTATAGATTCATAAAAGTCCTCACTTCTCCATACTTCTGACAATAATAATATGTCAATGTTTGTATCAACTAATAAATGCTCAATTAAGTCTACTTCATTTCCTAAGCTCTGAACGTTTTGGAAAGTTAATTTAAAACTGTTAACGAAATGTCTTGTCAGGAATACTACTTTTGGTTATAGGCCCTGTTTCTTGTTTTGATGATAGGCAGTTACTTATCGGTAAGGTTTCTTCCTTTTTTGAGACAATTTCAGAGGTTTTAAAATCATTGGCACTGTTTACTACAATTTTGCCACAATCCTCTTCTTGGTATTCTTCTGTGTTCTTTATTAGATCAGCGACGTCTTTAAAGATGATCTGCATGCCGTAGTCGTTTATTTGGCCTGTGCGCTTATGAAACATGGTATGGTTGTAATCGAGGTTCAAGTTGGAGTCAATTAAATATGAGTATTGATATGTCATATTGTCCAAATAAAGGAGGTTATTAAACAGTTCTATTCTCTTGTTGAATAGGGTTACAAATCTACCACATTTGAATGTCGGCAGACACAAGATAATATTTGTATATGTTATTTGTAGTAATTTTTCTCGGATGTAGGTAATAAGCTCAAAATAATTAGTTGTGGCCTCAAAATTCTCTTTGCCAATGACTATTATGCAGTAGTCTCTTAAGGAGAAGTTCTGAAGTTTTTTTTCTATGTCTAGTAGAAGTGGTCTTATGCCATGATCAGTTGGTAGATAGTGGCATATATCATAGTTGTTTTGTACATTATGTTGTAATATGTTTCGGGTCTTCATAAATCTGGACGTACTGAGTAGACAAATTTTGTTTGCAGCTTCCTTCACTACTTTGGGCTTGTTGTGCATATCAAGATCAGAGTTTGTAGGAATTTCGACACTAATCATTGTGGATAAATTATTATTTAATGGGCTCTGGCTATAAATTTTTTTGCGCTTATAGACTAGAATATACGAAACACAGAAATCAAACAAACAAAATTATTAAAAAAGCTAAAAATAATTATAGAAGGCAGGAACTATCACGCTGTCAGGGAGACTTTAGGAAATTATGGGAAACAATAAATTGCTGGCTAGGAAATAGTAAAAATAGTTTAGATGACGTAGTAATTAAGTATCTAGGAAAAATCAATAGTTTAAGTGACATATGTTCAAAATTCTCAGAAACATTCACAAAAGAAATTAATAAAATAAAACATCAATGTAATATTAAATTTCTAAATCGCGAGTCCTATGTAAAATTGAGTGATATCACTTTCTATTATAAAAAGGTAACGGAAATTGAAATAAAAAAATAATTAGTCAACTAAATAGTAAAAAATCACCAGGTTTAGATGGAATAAGGCCGCAAGATCTAATTTTAGTTAAAGAAAAAATAAGTCCAATATTAGCAAAATTTGTAAACCTTAGTTTTAAAACAGGCTTATACCCAGACAGTTTAAAAAAGTCTATTATCCGCCCTGTTTATAAGCAAGGAGACCATTGCAATTATTCAAACTATAGACCTATCGCAATATTGTCTGTTATTAATAAAATAGTGGAGAAAGTGATAGTTAAGAAAATTTGTGAGTATCTAAAAAAAACTGCATAATTACAGAAAAGCTGCACGGATTTAGAAAATTACGTAGTACAAAGACGGCCTTACCTATTTTCACCGACGATATCAGCGAATGCTTAGGTAGTAAGCAGTATGTATTTCTTTTATTCATAGATTTTAAAAAAGCGTTTGATACGCTGGACCATGAGCAGCTGTTGGTGGCTATGGAAGAGTGCGGAATCCGCGGGCCAATCAGCTCATGGTTTCGTAATTATTTACATAACAGAATGTTGTGCACAAAGATAAAAGAAACCATTTGTCATGGTAAATTAGTTAGTACTGGAGTTCCTACTGGCTCTGTGTTTGGCCCTGTGGGCTATATCATGCATGTAAATAGCATGGTAAACGTTGTAAAAAACTTCAAAACATACATGTATGCTGACGACACATGCATGATGTATGCTGACAGAGATATAAAGGTGATTGAGAACAAAATACAATCGGATTTTGATAACGTAATCAAATGGTCCCACGACAATGGAATACTTTTAAATATAGAGAAAACGAAATGCATGCTCATTCAATCGCCATACCTGCATAAACCATGTATACCTATAAATATCATAGGCCATTCGTATGATTGCTTGCATAGAAATAAACAATGCATTGGTTGTAAATCGATTGAGCTTGTTGATAATTACAAATATCTAGGATTTACCATAGATACTAAGTTTAGTTGGAATTTCCATATAGAAAGAGTATGTAATAAATTAAGATCATTATTATGTAAGTTTGTACACCTTAAAAGTGTAGTTGATAAAACAACTTTACGCATTCTGTACTATGCTCTCGTGTATTCTGTTATTAATTATGGCCTTTCAGCCTATGGACGTACGTTCCGAACGTACATGGATAGGATACATAATCTTCAACTAAGATTTATTAAACTGTTAGTTAATAAGCAAGCTAGAGAGAAAAGTAAGGGTAACCATAATCTATTGTTTAAGAAATGCAATATTCTACAAGTACGTGAAAAACCAAGTATTTATTAGCAATTGAAGGATACAAAAGTAAATTTTTAGTTAGGAAATCCATTTATGGTAATTTAAGTAAGAATACTCGTAAACTGTTTGAGGAACCAAGTGCGCAAAACTACTTTGGTGAAAGGACGCGTAGGTATTTAGTGCCAAGAATATTTAATGAAAACGTGCCACAAGAGGCCTGTCGGACAAAACAAATTTTTAAAAACAAATTGAAATATTGGCTACTGAATGCCATCGACGACCTGTAGTATTAGTAGTAGTAATATTTAGTTTATTATTATTAATCTTAATTATTTTTTATTAATCTTTATTCATTATTAATTTAATTTAAGATATTGTTTGTATAATAGTGATAAGTGTACTTTACCTACTTAGTCTTTAGTTTTTAATTACTTTATATGTTTACTAATATGTTTTGTTTTAAAGTTTATTTTAGAGAAATATTAAAATGCAACTGTAAACCTTAATGAGTGCAGTTTCGCCAATAAACTGTATTCTCAGTTTGGCGAACTTAATGTTTTTTGAACCAATTGTATTTATATGTTAATAAATAAATTAAAAAAATTGTATGAAGCAATGTATGTGTGTTGTGGGAGGGGTGAGTGTGGGTGGGCGCACCTGAATGAGTCGAGGTCGAGAGCGCGCGCACGATGCGTCCAGCGCACGGCAAGCGGCGCGTCGCCACGTGCGTCGCACACCAGCGCCGTGGCCGCACCGCGCACCGCCGACACGTTGCGCAGCGAGCCGTGCGCCCCCGCGAAGTGCGCCGGCTCTGCGCAACAACAAACCTTAATTTTGTTAGAAATGCAAACTTCTTTAAATAGTCATGATTTGAAACTCAATGAAATACAATACAATACAATACAATACTCTTTATTGTACACCAACAAAACATAAATATAACAAATAATGAACAAACAATGCGATAAAAACACAAGGTGGTCTTATTGTTACATAGCAATCTCTTCCAGACAACCCAGAAGAGGAAAATAATAAAAATAAAAATAATATTAACGGGTAGGGTGCACTGAATTAGACAAAAAAAAATACAACTTATTGACTATAAATTGACAACATACATAAGGTATTATTTAATTGATTGATTGGATCTGCACTAGAACTTGTTGAATGGGAGAGGTTATATTTGTGGATCTTGATTTTAATTGCGATGCACTTTATTGGTGAGATAAATGATAGCTCGTGTTTAAATCGCACAGCGCCATCTACATTTATTTATTGCTACTAATTAAATGGTCTTAAACATTACGCCCACCAAGGATATTTAATGACAAATATGGCCTTAAAAATACAATAACTCCCACCGTGGCAGAATGATAAAATCATTCTTGACATACTGAACTTAAACTTAAAAATAACATGATTAAAACTACTTTTACGGATTTTATCGCGTTTATTTTTACTTTTTATTTTTAATTCCCGACGTTTCGGGCGCTTTCCAGCACCCATGGTCACGGGGGACTGAGATGACTGACGTCCCGATGTCATTGTTAAACCCGGAGTAACTTCAGCTTTTTTTAATTATTGTTTATGGTCCGATCTATGCAAAATGAACTGACTATGTCCTGAGGTCTTGCAGTGGTATGCTTGGGTTTAGTTTTAATTTTATTGATTATAGGATCCCAAGCAGGTGGTAGTACCCAGCCTCCTTCTCTATTGAAATTAGGATGTTTTTTAATTTCAATAGCCTCACATATCATCCTTGGTAGGAATCGGTGTTCTTTCGCGAGGATTTGTGGTCTATCAAATCTGATGTAATGGTTGGGGCCGTCTAGGATATGATCACAAACTGCAGACTTCCCGGAACGTTGATGCTTCACATCAGCTATATGTTCTTTTACGCGGGTCCTAATCATTTAAAAATAACATATTTGAACCTTAACTTAGATAATGACTTATTTGAACTTAAATATTTTTAAACTAAAATTATTCCAAAAAAAAAAACTATTTAACTTATACTTTATAACTTATGTTAAGAAATAAAAGTTTTTAAAGTTATTTTATCACTATAACTAACAATATTTAAAACACAAAGTACAAAGATTAATTCTATTAGCTTACCGGTAAAACACATAGTTTTGAAGTTGGTCGCTTGATAAAAGATGACTTAGTACGTATTGTGACCACACGGGTAACATTATCAATCCCGGGATGCTTTTCAACTATTCTGCCCATTAACCAACGACTTGGCGGTAAGTTGTCTTCTTTTATCAAGACTACATCACCAATGTTCGGTTCTGGTTCCCGAGAGCTCCATTTGTATCTATTCATAAGGTTAGATAAGTATTCTTGAGACCAACGCCGCCAAAAGCGCTGTAACATTTGTTGAATGAATTGCCACCTTTTTAATGAACTGATATTTGATTCTAAATAATCATTGAACTCGGGTACAGCTATAAGCGATCCCCCAATTAGAAAGTGCCCTGGTGTTAAAGGAAGTAGGTCACTAGGATGTGAGCTGTCTACTGTAATGGGCCTAGAATTTAAACATGCTTCAATTTGGCTGAGAAGTGTGCTCATTTCCTCGAACGTAAGTGTGGATTCACCTATTACGCGTTTCAAGTGTAATTTCGTAGACTTGACTCCAGCTTCCCACAGTCCACCAAAGTTGGGGGCGTGTGGCGGAATGAAATGCCACTCAGTCCCATGCGATTCTAAGTACTTAGCAAGATCTTCCTGGTTGATCTTCAGTTGCTCTAGTTCCCTTGAAGCGCCTACAAACGTAGTCCCATTGTCACTCCATATTTGTGCGCAGTGTCCACGTCTTGCTACGAAACGTCTGAACGCTGCAAGGAAGGCCTGGGTGCTCATGTCACTTACCGCTTCCAGATGTATTGCACGAGTAGACGTACATATAAATAAGCATATGTAGCCTTTATGAGAATGGTGACCTCGTCCTTTAGTTGTCCTAATGTTTATGGGGCCAGCATAATCCACTCCACTGTGTAAGAATGCTCTAGCGGGTGTACAGCGAACGGCAGGGAGCGAGCCCATAAATGGGTTTTGTACTTTGGCATTTTGTCTAACACATATCACACACTTACGAACATGTTGTTTAGCCAAATTTTTTACACCAATAATCCAATACATGGTTCTCAGGTAATTTACCATTAATTGGACTCCTCCATGTAATGTATTCTGGTGTGCCTCTGATATAACTAATTTCGTGAAATATGCAGAATGTGATGAATGAAATGAATGGTAGTATTATCGGATGCTTTGTTTGCTCTGGCAGTTGAGAGTTTTGTAGTCTTCCGCTAACTCTCATTATGTCATTGTTATCGAGATACGGACACAATGATTTGAGCTTACTAGATTTAGATGATAAACCTTTCTTCTTAATTTGTAAATATTCTTCACCAAATTCTTCCTTCTGTACTTTCTTAATGCAACACATTAGTGCTTGGTCTATTTCACTTTTAGTGAGATAAGATTTCCGCTCAGTACACTTATTCTTCGTATTAAATCGTCGGCAATAAGCTATTACTCTAAGCAGCCTTTGTAAGGAAGAAAACCTCTGAAATATTTCATCATCGGAAATGACATTAATATGTGATTTGATGGCTTCTTCTAAATTGATCTTTAAATTCATTGTTCTTTTGTAAGGAATGTTTCCTGTTTTCTCTCGAAGAAAATTTGGACCGAAAAACCAAAGCGCGTTACCTGCAAGTGCTTCTGGCTGGACACCTCGTGACGCACAGTCAGCAGGATTTTCTTTGGTTGAAACATGGTACCATTGCGAAGAGTTCAAGTTTGTTAAAATCTCTGACACTCGGTTGGCCACAAACGTCTTCCACCTACTGGGGTGGCTGTTAAGCCAAGCGAGCACGACAGTTGAATCTGTCCAAGCTTTAATATTGCTCTGATTAATATTTAAAACCTCTGCGACCTCCGTCAAAAGTTGTGCTAATAGTACAGCACCACATAATTCTAGACGTGGTATACTGATCTGCTTTATTGGGGCAACTCTAGTTTTTGCTGTCAATAAAGAAACTTTCGTATTGCCATCGTAGTCAACGACTCTTACATAAACGACTGCTGCGTATGCTGATTTAGATGCATCGCAGAAGCCATGCAATTCAGTGTTGGTGTCCGTCGTTGAAGTGCCTAACCATCGTGGGATTCTTACGGAAGTAAGTTGTGGTAACTCATTACGGTAAGTATTCCAATCTTGTAATAAATCAGCTGGAATTGGTTCATCCCAGCTTGTCCCTGCTAGCCATAACCTTTGAATAAACATCTTTGCTAAAATAATGCTTGGCGCGATCCATCCTAAAGGATCGTATAGTCGTGCTATAATTGATAATATTGTTCTTTTTGTTTCAGGTCCAGTCGTCGTCATCGGAAGATTCACCGAATAACGAAAACGATCTTCATGTCGGTCCCAGGTAATACCTAAAATCTTTGTTGTGTTCTCTGTTTTGGCCTCGATTTCTTTATTGTTCTTCAATCTTTCAGTTTCCTTTAGTTTTAGTACATTGTGTATGTCCTGTTTGTTGCCTTCCTGCATTTCCCTTCTCTGTTTGTACTCCCTTAACATGTCCCTATCCGCTGAGTCCTCCTTATTCATGTCTGCTAGCTTCTCATTTATGCTTATTTGTGATAATAGTTCCTCATTGTTGCTGTTCCATTTTTGTAGCTTAAATCCACCTCTAGCCAATAGCTCCGTCATTTGTTTGTAAACTTCCACTCCTTCCTTGACGTCACAACATCCTGTCATTAGGTCATCCATGTAGAATGCCTGTAATACCCTTGGTGCTGCCAATGGGAAATTCTTGCCCTCATCCAAGCTGATCTGGTTCAATACTCTAACGGCTAAATAAGGAGCGGATGCAATTCCAAAAGTCACAGTCAAGAGCTCAAAATTTTCTATTTCACTTTCAGGGTTCTCACGCCACACTATACGTTGGAATTTTGTGTTGTCTTCAGCTACTCTGACCTGCCGATACATTTTAATAATGTCAGCTACCAGCACAATCGGATCAATTCTCCAACGCATTACTAAGTGACGCAAATCTGGCTGTAGTCTGGGTCCTATCATCAAAGTTTCGTTAAGCGAAACACCATAATTTTTTTTACTTGATGCATTAAAGACAACTCTAACTTTCGTAGTTGTTTTGTCCTTTCTAACGACTGCATGGTGGGGTAAGTAAACAGCTTCATTAATTTCATTATCATCTTTTCTTAAACGTCTCATATGACCTAATTGTAAATACTCATTTATGACCTCCGTGTAGTTTTTCTTTAGTTCTAAATCCTTTGATAGCCTTTTCTCTAATGCCTTAAATTTTGTTACAGCTATTTGTCGCGAGCCACCACCCAAACAACGCGGTTGGTTGTTCCCGAAATGGCAGTTTTACTATATAGCGGCCTTCAGCCGTTCTTTTTGTTGTACTTGTAAACATTTCTTCACATTTTTGCTCTTCTTCTGACCACACACTTTTTGTACTTCTTGGTTGTTCTTCTAATTCCCAAAACTGTTTTAAAATATTATATTCGTTTATTTGTGCATGCATTACCGTTATTTTAGAATTGTTTTTATAATTCTCACTGCTGTCATTGACTATACCAGACACGATCCAACCTAGAGTGGTGTTTTGGGCTATTAAAGATCCGTTGGGACTCCTTTTCACACCATCCATCAGAATTTGGCTGAACACATTCGCTCCTAAAAGCATATCAATTTTGTTAGACACATTAAACTTAGGATCTGCCAGGCATAAGTCTTGTAAGCCTATCCAGTCAATGGATTCA